AGCCTGGACAAGTGGTACATATTTGTATCGCTAGCAGGAAGCTAGGGCTGGGCGATATAACGATACAATAACAATATTATGATGAATTATCATGATAACGGAGATAATACGGGCCTTTTATTGTGCGATCTTTATTTTAGAATAACAGTTACAAGGCTCATGGGTAGGACGGATGGCATACACTCTCTCTCACTCGCTGTGATTGACAGGAGACAGCGACGCAGTGACTGGGAGCTCATCAATGCAGAAAGAGCAGAAATGTGTATTTTTAATAATGGCTGACGTTATTCCCGCTGAGCCGTAATGTCATGACCGCAGTGTAAACAGCAGCCTGTGGGTGTGATCTTGCTGTGACCCAGTTATCACGGTATTCTTCCACACACGCATATATTTCCAAATAAATGTCAGACTCTGGCATGCTTGGATTTTTTTTCCCTTTTTTTTTTCTCTCTTCTTTTTCTCCACTACACACCCTCCCTCTCGTCCTCTACCTTTCTGCGCTTTTGAATGGATGTTACACAGCAGTGGGGTTTGTGTACGCCGGTGTATGAAGCACGTGGCCAACAGCACTCAGACAACACGTAAAACAGCTTGCGTGTGTCACGTTACATCCAAGCGTAGATGACGTTGCCGCTGTACACTCTCCATCTTTCTTTTAGTCCACATGTGTACTCTGCTGTTTCACAACACAAGTTCACACACGACAAACCTTCTGCCTTTGTACAGGATGCTCCTCAGGAGGCGTACGGCAGCAGAGCCCAGCCCGCTATGACTCCCGGGAAGCCCAACCACGACGAGATGGGCCTGAACCAGCAAGAGCGGCCGTCCAGCCTTCCGGTGAGTTCTAGCAGACCTTCTCGACACACCAGGTCTTTGGATCTGTACTGATATCTCTACACGTTTCCGTGCTAATAATAAAGTAGGACACACCTACTCAGAGAAGGGGTTTCCTTCATTTTTACAGGCGCTGCTTTCGAGGACATCAAAAGACCAAAAATGTCTTTAAATCTGAGATTAAATGTTCTTTTCGTAAAAGAAAAGGGGGGGGGTGCTTGGACTGTTGTCTTTGTTCAGAGAAAAGCAATACTCGTCTAAACATCTAAGTTTAAGATCATTTTATTTGAAAATGAGTTTATCCACGGTCAAATGCAGTGCCAGGGAATACATGGAGTTGGGCAGATCTTACATTGTAATGGGAGGATTAATATATAAAAAAAACCACCATAGATTATGACCAGAGATGATCTGAAGGTGAACAAGATCGTTTAGGATTTTTAGGTCTGGTTTGATTTTTAGTCTGTTCTTTTCATGCGTGTGCAAAATATTGTTAGTACTGTGGAAATATGACGTTTTACTTTGTACCGTGTTCCCCTTTACGGGAGATATTTTGCCCTTTAGCAAATGGAAGAGTGCGCCATTTAATGTTTGAGCTCGCAAAAATCGCAACTCGAGCAGCGCCAAAGCTTCAATTTAGCCCCATTTTCAACATCCTGAACTGTTGGAAGCCTGTAATCGTCCGATCACGTAGCACCGAGCATCTAATGAGTCACAGTGCTGGTGAGAAGAGGCTGGGCTCCCCCTGTCGAGTCCGGCTTCCGCTCTGCATTTCTTCCTCCTTGGCTTCATCATGCACGGTTTCTTTTTTTTCATGGCGTTCTGTATTTTATCATACTGTGTCTAGTTATAGTAGCGAGGCACACTGTATTTCTGTGTATTTACACACCGATGTGACGGGAGGATCGTCACTCAGACACACGGCTCATTTGGATCGGAAACGTGCTGAAGAAATGCATTTCGGTGTGGCGTCAGTGCGAAGGAGAAGAGAAGGGCTGTGTTTATGCATTCTTCTCTGACTGCAGAACTTCCTCCGCTGGCTCTCTGCTCACTCTGTGCTGAGCTGTTGGCGTGCCATTCGGCGCTCAGCCTGTCTCTCGGTGAGCTCACAGACTCTCAGCCAATCAGATGCGTCAAGGCATTCTTGCTTTTATATTTACATTCATGTTTTCAGGCCTTTATTTGCTTGTGTTAATACAGACCTATACACTTTAGTACATCTTGTCTCATTGGTTTTATAAAGCTCTGCGTACAGAAGACATCATGAGTTTCATCACTTATATGTGGCCTTTGAATCGGTCAGTGAAGAAAGTGTGGTCTCTCTACCTGTCAATCTCAGTGAAAGAGGTGTGGCTTCTGTACCCGTCAGTCCCAGTGAAGGAGGTGTGACCTCTGTACCCGTCAGTCCCTGTGAAGGAGGTGTGACCTCTGTTTGTCGGTCCCAGTGAAGGGGGCGTGGCTTCTGAAAGTGGAATTACCACTTCAGTGTTTCCAGTAACAGCACATCACAAAATGTTTTAATCCTGTTATACCATATCAGTGTAGAACATCTGTGAGACAAGTTAGATCCTGTTATTACTTGCATCACAGCAGGTACAGTGCTGTGAAAGTGTTTTTGTGTATATCTCGTACTAAATTGTTTCAGAAATGAAACCAAATCTAAGATAAAACAAAAGCAACCCGAGTAAACCCAAAATACAGTTTTAAATGATAGTTATTTATTGAGGCAAAAAACGTTATCCAATAACAACTGCATATATAATGGTGTTCAGCTGGACTAGACACAACCAGGCCTGATTACTGCAAACCCTGTTCAATCAAATTAACACTTAAATACTTTTTCAAGAGCATGAAGCTGGTTAAAAGGTCTTACCCAGTAACACACTATGCTATGATAAGGGATGAGGAATCAAGTGAAGAGGAAGAAGGTGATCGAAATACATCCGTCTGGGATGGGTTGCAAAGCTATTTCAAACGCTCTTGGACTACAAAGGACCACAGCAAGAGCCAATATCTTCAAATGGAAAAACTTAGCACAGTAGTGAACCTTCCCAAAAATGGCATTCATGGAAGTGTGGCGAGGTGAAAACAACTGCTAATCATGAACAACGTTGAGGCTTGTCTAAATTTTGCCAAAACACATCTTGCTGATCCTCAAACCTTTTGGGAGAATGTTCCGTGGATTGACGAGTTTGAAAGTTGAACTGTTTGGGATCCTGTTAGATCTGACCTAAACCAAACACAGATTTGCTCAAAAAGAGCATCATGAATATGGTCAAGCATGGTGGTGGTGGAAGTGTGATGGTGTGGGGATGCTTTGCTGCTTCAGGGTCTGGGCAACTTGCAGTAATTGAGGGAAACATGAATTCTGCTCTCTACCAGAAAATCTTAAAGGGGAGTGTCCGGTCTTCAGTTTGTAAATTGAAACTCAAGCGCAACTGAATTTTGCAGCAAGACGGTGATCATAGGAGTAAGTCCACCTCTGAATGACTCCACAAAAAAAAAAGAAGCAAAATTAAAGTATTGGAGTGGCCTAGTCAAAGTCTTGCCATTGAGATGCGGTGGCAGGACCTTAATCAGGCAGCTCATGCTCGAAAACCCTCCACTGTGTCTAAACTAAAGCAGTTCTGCAAAGAAGAGTGGGCCATAATTCCACCACAGTGCTGTGAAAGACTGATCTCCAGTTATCGGCAATATACAAACCTGTGATTTGCATTAAAACTGGCACTACTGTCAGAGCTGCTGTTAGATAATTAATCAACACTCATCAGAAACGAGCATTGTGGTGTAAGAAGCAGTAACACTCTTCTATCAGGTTCCAGCAGTTGGAACGTTGGTCAGGGGCATGTCTGCTTTGGTATAATGGGTGTAATGGGATTTTATGTGAAATCGCAACATGAAGCAATTTACTCACTGTTTAAAAATAAATAAATAAATAAGTGATGGTTTTGAAAACGACCAGTTGGCGTTTTCAGAGAAAAGGAGCAGAGGCAGTGCTGGTGAAACACAGCGGCTTCTCTCCACTGAGCTATTTTTAAACTTCCATGTGTCACTCTGGCCCAATGGCCCAGTGAACCCTGCCAAGAAGGAGGAGGAATAAGATGGAAAGTGTGAGTGTGTGTGTGTGCGTGTGTGTGGCAGGCGTTCAGAATCCTGTGACTCATAACGTCAGCAGTAACGTTACTACAGGTCAGACCTGAAGCATAACTGACAGCGAGTGTTTACATACGGCTTCCTTCATCACTCATTAGCGCACGGGATTTGCCTGCAGGCTGAATATTTATTAATCAAATTGATCGCTGTGATCTGAGCTCAAACAGTTTCTCCCGCTCGCACTCTCTTATTTCTCTGCTGGTAAGGGGAAAAAGTTGTTATTGTGGCGTTTGTTTAAGCGTGTCTAAACACAACGTCTTCCCTCTGAAGTCCGAGCCGAGGCTTTGAAGTCGGGATGCTACGGACGGGTGGTGTTGCCATGGAGACACGTATGGATGTGCATGGGGCTCCTCTTGATGCCTCATCAAATTATGCTTCTAATGGAATTTTTAATCAAGGAGCTGAGGTTTAAAAAAAAAAAAAAAAAAAATAAGAAATAGTCCCAGTCTAGGAGGCGTGGCCTGTGTGCCCGTCAGTCCCAGTCAGGGAGGCGTGGCCTGTGTGCCCGTCAGTCCCAGACAAGGAGGCTTGTGCGGCTTGGTGTTTTTCTTCCCCGACAAACCTACGCCAGAGTTGCTAATCAAGGTAATTATAAAGGGACTGATTTTAGTTCTTCGGTTAGGTTGTTTTTCTAATCGTTAACTGCCCAGTTTCTGTGATCTTGTGTTCACCGTATCCTCGGATTTCTGTTCTTGGCTGAATGGAGTGGATCCCGATACTCTCGTAGGCCTCAAGGTGCGATGTGTTAAAATGCTTTTTTGCTCACTGCCTTTGTAAAGGGTGATCATTTGAAATACCACAGCCTTCCTGTCAGCTCAAAAGAATCTGCTATTCCTCTCTGACCTTTCTGATGAGCAAGACGTTTCCGCCCACAGAACTGACCCTCACTGGGTGTGGGTTGTTTTACGCACCAACACTGTTGTGTTGGTGAAAATCCTAGGAGCTCAGCTGTTTATGAAACACTGGAACCAGTTAGTTTGGCACCGACATCCATGCCACAGTCAATGTCCCTGAGCACAGTGGCTTAGTGGTTCGCACACTTGTCTCGCACTCCAGGGTTGTGGGTTCGAATCCCGCCTCTGGAGCTTGCAGGGGTTTCCTCCAGGTACTCAATTTTCCTCTCCCAGTCCAAAGACATGCGCTGTAGGCTGATTTGGCATTTCCAAATTGTCTGTAGTGTGTGAATGGGCATGTGAGTGATTGTGATTATGTCCTGTGATGGCTTGGCACCCCACCCAGGGTGACCTCCACCTTATGTCCTGAGTCCTCCAGGCTCTCCGTGACCCTGTGTTTTATATGGAAACTTAGTGGATGGTTTGAGGTGAACATTACCCGAAGCTCTTGACCTCTATCTACATGTTTGAGCAGGTGTACTTGTTGTCTGATTAAAGTCCAGTGGTGGTCACTGATTAGTCAATTAATCATTTTTAACCTTGGGTGTCTTTTGGCCGTCACCGCACTCCTGTCATGAAAATCACTCGCACAAGTTTAAAAATGTCCTTCTGAGTGCTTCATAAACGTAGGTGGAATTCTTTTTCTTTTTTTTTTTTTTATTGTATTGCTGTTCTAGCAGCACTTTAGAGACTGGTGCAGACGTCATTCTTCCTCTGTGCTGATGTCCCTCTTGTAAAACCTTTAACGGCTTATGAAATATTTACAAGCTTCTGTAAAGTGTTACCGTGTAAGGGTTTGTTCTGGTTTACTCCGCAGAGTAAGACTTCATAAAATCAGACTTCAGAGAGAAAGAAAGTGACCTTATTGTACCAAAGTGGTCTTGTGCGGCTTTCTGAACTTTTATCCACGTAAAGCCGGTGCACACTGTGCGATTTTTATTTTATTTTTTATAGACTTTTGCGGCTGGCTGTTGCTTGTCGGACCGTACGAACACGATCCCCGTTGTAAGCCACGTCGCACCGTAGGATCTCGGTTGTCATCAATGTCGGTCAAGACGCGAAAAACGGACACACACAAGAAGACTCGTACGGAGTAGGAGAAGCCACACTACAGGACTGCGCCTCAAATCTTCTGACACTGACACAATTTAATCAGAGCGTTTGATCGCAACGGCTGTTAATCGGCTGTCGCAGAACACGTCAAACCACGTCAAAGACTTCCGATTTTGGCCAAGGATTATAGGAATCTTTCAGGATTCTAAAAATGTGTCTCAGACAACCAAATAGTGGCCAAAATTGTACAGTGTGAACCCGACGACAACCCACCCCCACTGTGTTGTGCCATGTAACCCCTCCACTGTTTTTTTTTGTGCCGTGTCACACCAGTAAGAGCCCTAGTTGTTGTCTTTCCACTGTCAAGCATGTATTTTAGGCTTGCAGGCTTCAGCGTGGCTCTCTGGCTATGTCACTGTTTTGAGATTTACACTCTCTTCACTAACTGCATTTTCATTGCGGTGGCGTCTGGCTGCTCAAAGCCAAGCTCAACGCTCCACTCCTGTGGCACTGGTCATCCATCACTTCCACGATCATCATTAGGCCTGCGGGTGAGAGATGAGAGCCTGACAGGAAAATGCTTGACAGTGTGCTATTAAAGTGTCCATTAAAAGTAACATTATTGTTGTCTTGGCGTTATGGACGTCTGTAGGTCCAGTGTGAATGAGAAAGACAGAGAGGAAGTAGTGACGACGATGCAAATGCTGGACTCCGATGACGGGCGCGATGGTGTCAGCGGTGTCGGTATGAACGCTGAAGCTCTGGAAGCTGACGAAAGAGCCGGACAGAGTAAACGACTAAAGCGCCGCTGCATTGCTGTCTTCAGGTAGAGATCAAACGCTCACTGCAGCAGCAGGTAATCTGGTATGGTATTGTGGGAAATGTAGGACACTGTTCACCAAAGTGAAATGGAGTTTGAAAAGAATGTTTCGGAGGATTGAAGAAAATGGAGACATATGAACTCCTTTCATCTCGGCTCATCTAAAGCAAGAGACCCGAGCGATGGAGGTCAAGCCAAGCGTTTCTACCATGTTGGACTTGGCTACCCGATGTGTCTCATGTTTTTGGGAAACCAGAACCCCCAAGGTCCATCGGTGCCCGTTTTAGGTCAACTCTTTAATATTTTGGATTGTACAACAGGGAAAACGCCAGTACGTACCACATTAGCACTGAAGTCAATTCATGAAAGCATGCTTGAATAGTATGAAGTGAGAAACTGTCAAATGAACATTATTAGTGGAGAATTGGAAAAAAAAATACAGAAAAAAAAACCCCAGTTGGCGTCTGCTGCCTATTAAGTGGATGAATAAATGTGTGTTGCAGCAGCATGGCAGCTTGTTCTCTGTAGAAAACACACACACACACACACACACACACGTTTCGTTTATCTCTCTCTCAGCTGTCATCTCTCATGCTGAACCCACATTGTTTTGGTGGTGGTCCTCCTGCCTGGAATATTTTTAGCTCATGGAGAATTGATGTTTTGTGCTCTTTACCTGGCACTTACAGCTTCACTGCAGGGGAGGTGTGTTTGTGTGTGTGTGTGTGTGTGTGTGAGAGAGAGAGA